ATAATAAACTTAACCATATGTAGAATCATCTCTCATTACAGAAAATACATACAGATAGAATATGTACTTAGTTATTCCATAAGTATAGAATAAGAAACCAAGCACTTCAAGAAAATGTCAAGCAGCTGGCGGCAGTTGAAATACAAGAGCTCACATTATACTCTACACTGAACTTGATTCAAACTCGGACTTTTATTCTACATTTTTCTGGTTCACCCCTTTGAATCCACTGGGTAGTACCACTCAAGTATGTCAATACAATGACTTGAGTTTCCATTGAGGCTTAATTGGAGCATTCTTAATGTCAACTGGTAGCAGTTGACTGAGTTTTTCTTGTAGTGAAGGACACTTGGACTCAGGTACATCTATCAAGATGTACCCCATCCTATGAAGTGGTCATTGGACCATTACACTAAATCAACTCATGGAAATATAAGCCAATTCAGACATTTGGACACACTTATGGTGTAGGGATTCACCTTGCTTGTATTTGCAAGCTTAATTAAGCCTCTTAGTGAGAGTCCTTTTAGAGGGGACTGGGAGCAGGAAAGTGGGAGGAGGATAGTGCTGGAGATGTCACTTTGGAATCTTTTTGGGGGTACCTGCCACACTTAACATTACATGCACATCAAAAGTCACCAGTTGTGTAGTACTGGATATTGCTCCACTTCCATGGCTGGGGACTGGCAGGTATCCCCCAACAGGGGACAAAGTGCCATCTCTAGATAATGTGATTTTTAACAAATTCTCTTACTCCTTATTTATTATTTTTAAACTTTCCATTTACTTTGGTAATAAAAAAACACAGGTGAGTTCTGTACCCTAGATGCCTATCAATTTACAGTATTAATTTGGATTCACTTACAGTAGCAAGCCTCTCAGTCCAAAAGTTGCTGAAAGAGTGAAACCTCCTCATAATTATAGGACTGGCAATTTCAACAACCACTACTTGAAAAATTACCACAAAACCATTTATCATCAACACTCAGAATAACTGCCTCTGCTAATGCATCAGGCTAGTTACACAGAGACTGATAGTAGATTTTGAGTTTTTCCCATGATAAAATGTTGATGAATGAGAACTGGTTGGATTTTTCTTGATCAAAAAATTCTTCTGGGTAGCTCAAATTTTTATTGAAGCTTAAATTGAAAAGGATATAAGCTCTGGATTTGAAATCATTTAGTCAGATCTTATGGAGTGATTTTGTTGAAAATCTCAAAATATTAGGAAAGATAGTAATCTAAGATTCTAAGCCATACTCTCCAATTTGATTTATCCCTTAAAAGAGCCAAGTGAATAGGATGACAAGTTCTGTAAAGAAACAAATTTGAACCCTGTTTTTGAAGGCCTTAGCCCCAAAAAGTTGCAATGAAAATTGGATCAATGTTATCAGTGAATTTTTCTCATTCCATCAAGCTCTTTGCTGAATACCTACCATCAAAACTGCTAAATATATTAATTAGCTGGGGTGGACCACACTTGACCTTGGCTGACCCAAATTTTCATCCTTGCTATACTATATGGGGGACTGAACAGATCCCCCCATGGAGTTTACATCACTCAATCTTTGAAGTGGGATTAAATGAAAGACAATATACTGATATACTATTCCATGATTGTTGAACCATGTAATATCAATATATAAAATGGTACATTAAAAAAGTGAACAATTGTTCATAGTGGTTTTGAATTGTGGGGTGAATACATGGCTTTTTGGGATGAGATGATCCAACCTAAAACATAACAAACATTAAAAAAGCAGAATAACACTAATTATGGCTTTTTTGGTGATTTGTAGACAGATAAACATTTGAAGGTAAGCCTCCTGTGGAAATATTGATTGAGTTGGAAAGGGCTGATGAGATGGATGGCTTTGACTTGTAGACAGAACACAATATGAACTTGAAACTTGAGCTACAAGAGGAAAGAAGGAACAGCAATACAGTGCACAGGTATGTTTTACTTTCACTAGGCCACCAGAGTCTCTGAATTTGAGTGTTTTCACTGATGTTCTTCTTCCTATGATTTTCCTTCTTGAGCTAAGATACAAAAAAGGCACCACCAAGTTTCCAATAATTAATAACCTGATCAATATATGTAGGGGCTTGGTTAAACAACTCCCAAAAATTGGTAATTACAATGTTGAATCAAAGATTGAGTATCTTCAATATTCAAACTAAAGCAATTTGCACCATGCTGTAATTTTTCCACTCATTCTAGCCTCTGGGATTGTATTAATTTTGCAGAAGAAACATATGATAGGGTCAAGTTGGATTAAGGCAATACAAGACTCAATCATTGAATATCTGAAAAGCACAAAATCACATAAGCATTTAGTCAACATGGACAGATTAGATGAAGCCACCAACACATCAAATTCCAGTCAGCCACACAAGTAACTATATTGAAGGAGATGGAATTTGTTTATTTTGAGCCATTTTGATATGGATGTTTGGAAGCCAACAAGGTCACAAAAAATTACATGCAGTTATCAAATAATATGTCAACAATGACAAAGAGTGGGTCTAAACTCCTCTTGGAGAAGATCATGATGTTGAAACATGGATTGAAAATATTGGACAAATCAGCACTCATGTGGGATGGGGAGACTCAACAGCAATTCAAGTTTTATCAAGGTGCTATAGTGTGATCTTATTAATAGTTAGCTATAAAAGAATAAACAATAGAGTAACCCCACATAAATACTTTCTGGATCCTACACTTGGAGATTCTGTCACAGAACAGACTGAAGTTTATTTTATACTGCACATTGATTACCATTTTGAGATACTTAACCCTGTTCCAGATGGATTCTATATTTATAAGCTCAAGAAACTTTGATCTTCATGAAATTGGTTGATTTTGATCTCCATAAATTTGTTAATTTTGATATCCATAAATTTCTTAATTTTGATCAAGATGTATTACTTTTTTGATCTTAATACAGTTACAGCAATTTTGAGAAAGCTTGCGGTTTGCAAGCTGGCTTTTTTATTTTATTTTATTTTATGATTTTTTAGAGGCTGTTACAGCCCTGTATATCACTTGGAAATCTTCCAATCCTTTGTTTTCTTCTGTAAACGAATAATTAGAAGATATACAGTCACTATACAGGGCTGTATCAGCCTCTAACAAATAAAAAAATAAAATAAAAATAATAAAGCCTGGCTTGCAAACCGCAAGGTTTCTTGAAATGGCTGTTGTTTATTTTGTGAAATGTTTTTCAAAAAAAAAACATAAACTCTCCACAATTTTCAATAGACTGACCCATAAAATGATCATTGAAATTTTCCACATGCATATCACCATTTCTCCCTCTAAGCTGGATGTTTAAATACCGCAACACTATACTTATAAAAATTATCCCAGTGTTAAAACACATGAAAGGTTCCTACTGCCACTCCCAAAAATGGATATAGGGAAGGAGGTATATAAACGGCCACCATGGATCAAGGGCAAATAGGTAAGTTCTGCTGATTTGATCATACTTACTATTGCTGCACTCATGAGCCATTGTGTTGGTAATCAGCTTGCCACTGTTGATGTCCCATCTTGATTAGAGATAGTCTCTGGATATTCGTTGCGGATATCCGTTATCCGCTGGCGGATCTCGCCAGCCCCAACGGATACCCGCCAGCGGGTGCAGATTTTGTTGAGGGGAACGGGGTTGCAAGGACCGAGGTTCACAGACTATGTCTTGTGACACTGGGAGCTGACACTTAAGATAATATGGTTTGTATTCAGTGAGGAGAGAGCTCCTGGATCAGAGATCAGACGGACTAAATACAAATCATAATGAATAATGAATAACTATAGTTGAAGCATACTGTAATGGATATACACATACCATCTATCCCAACAGATTTGGGTGCGGATGGCCCCTTTTCCCCAAAATCCTGGCAGATATCTGGGTATTCCCAAAGATACCCAAGGCCGAGAGGATGAGATGGACGGCTGGAAGGATTTTCTTCCAGCCGGCAAGGTATATGTACAATTTAAGCCGGCTGCCTTTCCCCCCATTTAAAGGGAGGGTATCCGTGGATACAAGCTCGGATACCCGCCTAGGCCGACGGATACCTGCCAGCGGGTGCGGATGCCCCATTCCACTGAAAAACGGAGGGAATATCCGCATGGCGCAGGGCCATCTCTAATCTTGATCACTGCTACCCAATTTACCACACACATTGGGAATCAATCAACTAAGGGAAAAAGATAGCACACCTGTAATGTGTGACAAGTCAGCCAGGGGGAATTGGATGGTCAGAAAAAACACCTAAAAGCAGTGTTCATAAATCAGATCAGCTGCATTTTTTGGTGCTTTGGGATCAAGTGAGCTATGTCTTCTGAATGGACAATTGCTCTTGACGTCCCCTGTCAACTGTCTAAAGCATTCAAATAGTATTAGAATTGTGTGCAAACAGTGTTGGAATCTCGTTAAATAGAGAAATCTTACCCTATTGACACAATCAGGGCCACACCCACACTACATAATATACCATGGTCATGGTCAGTTGCTGGAAGAATTAGAGGCACAACTAAAAACTATTGACTTACTTTGGAGTGACATTCAAATACTGGGAACAAATATTTCAGGAACAACTGGGCCATTGACCTGGGGTCAAGATCTCCATTGTTGGGTCTCTTGAAGTGAGAATGTCAGGGTTTTTTGCACACTTAGATCCAGCTTGACATCAAGTGTCTTGGCGGCTTTTCCGACCATCTTTGACTGATAGATGTGACACTGCAATTTGGATTGTGGATGAAACCGGGTTGGGTTCGGGTCAAAAAACAGTGCCCAGACCTGACCCGGCAAATGTGGCGGGTCAGGTTGGGTTGGGTCATAAAGTCAATATCGCTGCCCAAACCCGACCCACCTGGGGGAGCAGGCAGGTCAGGGTCGGGTTGGGTTGGGTCGCAGGTCACTTTCCGGGTCAGGCTTGGAATAAATGTTTAGAGCATATTTCGAGCCTAGGCAATGTTGAGTCTTTGGAGCATGCACTTTAAGTTCGCGGTGACCCTAGCATCAGGCAGGGTGGCAGATGCATCTGAGACACCAGATGCAGAGGTCGCTACTTTGGAGTCTAAGTTCTTCTAGCAGGAATCTATCAACATAATACACATAGGCTCTAGGCTAATTGTGTAGCCGCTTACGTTCTCAGGGCTGGCTACAGGCCCCTTATACTTGGCTTTGACCATGAAGTAACAGGACACTATAACGTCTAGCCCTATGGTGAAGACACTACCCGGGTCAGGTATGGTAACCATGGTCTCACTGGGGCCAGCTGATGGATCATCCGGGCCATCCACCTTGGCAAGGCTTTGTACTTTTACTGACTTGGGCATAGTGACAGTGATGATCTTAACTGCGTGGGACCCTTCAGATTCTGAAGGCTGAAGCTGACCCATGGACACTGCCCTCAAGCAGGTCGGTAGTCGGGTTTTTGGGCCAACCCAAAATCAAAAGACACTGCCCAAACCCAACCCAGTATTCAAGCGGGTCACTTAGTTTTTTTTTCACATAAAGTCGACCCGAACCCGCCCCGAGACCCGACAGGTTGCGGGTCACTTGCGGGTTGACCCGACCCACTTTCATCCTGAGTCTGAACAGTCCCCCTCACACTGGCATTGCCAAGTGGGAGGAATTTACATATCCTATTAAAACTGGATAATCAGCACAAGCTTCACATAAGGCAACAAACCTTTGCAATGGAAATATATCCATCCCTGGTGATTTAATCTAATGCGTGTGTTGGATTGGCTTTGGCTGGCTAGAGTCACATGTGTTTGACTGGATATTTGACTAAATTTCCCCCGTCCACCTGCCAAAGACTTTACATCCAGCTCAGCCTATCAATCCTTGACCGTTCAGCCACACTAGTGATGAAATTTTAATCGATGAGGGGAAAAAGTCCGCAGAGCCAAAAGCAGACAAAGTCTG